AGGCAAACATCCGCGTTGCCATGTCACAGAAGCCGAAGTGTCATGCTGTGGCACGTCGCGATCCTGGCGGTTGGTTGCAGAAATGCTAACGAGAAGCTGGAGTAGCACAACCCAACGTGAGTGTCGCTGTCGTCACGGCGTCTCAACTTCTGGCTGCCGAAGCTTCCGTGGACCGCCACACTGAAGAACGACCTGCAGCAGAACAGACGTCTGGCAGCTACACCGCCACTGTTGAGACGCCGCCAGGATCGAGACTGGCGACAGCATGACACTTCCATGACGTCATCAGGCGGAAATCGAGGGGCCACTTTATTGGACGCGGGAAACAGCAGGCGGAGACGCGTTCCAGGTACCGTACTTCCGGCACCATACGTCTACTTATGTTTCCCGCTTGCAGCGGCTAACGAACGTTAAAATAAAAAAAAAATATATATATATATATATATATATATATATATATATATATATATATATATATATATATAAACGTAAAGCATATGCGCTCATCAAGTACTTTTCGTATAAAAATAATAGTGAAGGTAAAACCAAATGAAGCCGCCTAAAACAGAAGAGAATCTTAAATCAGTATAAATGCTGTTGGCTGTATTCAGCCAAAACAATTCCAATCTGTAGCGCTCTAAATTAATGCTCGTTCTTGGATTTTTTTTTTTTTTTTGCGTTTGTGGGGCGCGTTGACCGTCGGTCGCTGAGGATTTAGGCCTCCGACTATGCGGAAACAGACAAACGCAAGCGAGCATACACTGCGAGCAGCTGCTCTATTTAGATATGATCTGGAGCGACTTTAAAGCCTTGAAATACTTAGTTTTAATTACGCCACGAACGAAATCCAATCAGAGCCTGGGAGTAGCGCGATACGTTTCCATGCCAACGGTTACCGCGCCTCTTTAGGCTTAGGAAGGGCCCCCCAGAATCGGAAAACGATCTTAAAAATAGGGTGAGCCCACCGCGCATTTTTTTGTGACTTGAGCGAGCTAAAGCGACGCGAATGCCGGCAGCACCATTCACTCAATGGCAATGAACGTGGCTAATACAGAGTTTTAGGGAAGCGTTTTAGCACATCCGATACGGTATACGATGGGCCCTCCGGTGCGAAATGCGCATGGGTTACCACAGGAGACTCACACATATGCGCAGTTCGTCCCGGAGGGCCCACCACAACCCGGCCCCAAGGAAATGGGGGCCCCACGCTATTTCCCGAATTTCGCGTTAGGGGCAAGCGCCCACACAAAACCTAAAAATCAGTTTGGATTCAACGCATGCGCAGTAGAAGGCCCCTATTTTGGCGGGGCCCCCAATGTTTGGGAACCCCTATCCTCTTTGTTGCTTGGTTGGGATGAAAGCGCGTCGGTCCACAAGGCACTCATGGGACTGGGTTATTTTTCTGGCGTCGCCGGGCACGTCCTTGTCACCCTCCTGACCGCAATGTTGGCGCGATCAGAGCGCTCCTTATTGTCGCTGGAACTTGCGGATACCGCTATTTACGAGCTTATATAATGCTTGACATGATAGTGCAAAAGAGCTATCTATTTTATCAGTTGCGCAAGCACCTCAAACAATTCTTCGTAAAAGTGGGGGAGTCGGGAGCAAAAGAAAAAAAAAAAGTAACTGTTAAAAAGGGATCCTGGAAATATTCATCAAACCCTTCGTGCAAATATCAATGCTGTCACGAAATAAAAATAAACGAACAAGAAGCGAAGAAAATCGCTTTGCATTTAATCGTAACTTCTTACTCGCCGGGAGGAAGTTGAAGAAAACCTTGATTTTTCTAATTTAATACTTTGAGCCCATGTTTTTCCCAGCAAATGACCACAATTCCGCCCGACTGCTGCTTATTTATTTATTTATTTATTTATTTTTTAATGCCTTTTACGCTTTGCGCTTGCACAGAGCGCTGCGGCGCGCTGTGCAGCCACTTTTAAAGCCACGCGCAGAACGAACGCCGCCGGGTGAAATACGTCGTTTTTTTGGCTCCATGGGAATCTGATGCTTGCACGTAGCACTCGTGAATACAAAAGGGGTGCACTGTAAGGGGTATTAAACTGCCGCTCGACTCCTTTTTTTTTTTTTTTTTTTTTTTTTTCAGGGAGAGAGCGGGCGTTGTCCTCGAGCTATGCCTCGAGTTAATTCCGCCGTGACCTCCGCATCTGGAGGACCTTTTGCTTGATGACGCATTGCTGCGTCTCACCACGCTGACGACAGCAGTGAACGTACTCCCGCAGAGGCTCGTAATACCGCTCCCGTAAATTCCACGGCACTTCGACGGGCTTTTCTTTGATAAGGGGAGGCTTATCCCACTATCAAGGTATCATTCACAAGATTCCATGATACTCCACGGGATATAAGACCTGTCATTAATACTTCGTTCCAAGAAATATGCTTAGCCTGGAAGACAATCATATCTACCCGAGAACCTTTTTTGACCTGATGAGTGCTTGACAAGATCAGAAGTCTTCTGCCATGCGGCAACTCTTCGAACGTTTGTTTCAGTGGGTATTGGGAATTATCTGAGTATTTAAAGTTTGAACAAAGGAGCCTTTTTCCTCTCTTCTTGAAAACCCATAAGGAGAAATAAAAAAGAACGCCAAACTCTTTACCACAATCTTGGAGCTTGGTGCAACGTTGATATTTTGCGCCTGTGGATTTGCACGCCACTACTGCGTGCATTTATTATTTATCCTGGATCAATAGAACTTCCTAGAAAATCCCAGGAGACCTCGCGGCGAAAGGAATTCTGGCGCTGTTCAGATGTGCACTCGTGCCGACTCGAGCACTTCCTGTGTCATGGAAGCAGCATTCTCTCTTATTATTGGCAGCCCAGTGCCAACAGAACTAAAAGCGAACGCGAAAGGTCATCACACACTTTGTTTTACTTTCCCCCTGCCTTATCTGGGCTTTGAAATCACAAATTGTTAAACCAACGACAACTTCGCTTTCGATTCCTTGTGTCGCACATCGGAACGTCACAGTGCGTCAAGCAGACGGTATACGTGCAACAATTATCCGAAAAATTCTGACGTATTTCACTTTTGCGGCGATAGCCGTTATAAGAAGGTTCCTGTATGATTGTCGTGGCACTTGGCGTCACGGTGACGTGACATCACAGTGTAACATTTAGTGGGAAACTTTCTCCACTAGATTAAGTGAAAAAAGTTATTCGCTAAATTTATCGGAAAAATAAATGTGTGCAAAGCGGTTGTGCGTAGTCTGTATGCACCAAAGTTTGCAGCAGAGCGTGCACTGCAAATGAACAAGGGCCGTCGCTGCCGTTCATTTGCAGGACAGGAATTGGGAATTGTTTCCCGGGTCCTGAATACTTCATTTATATTCGAAGTATGTGTGAATTCTCCACCGCATCCGCTTATCTACATTGCGCGCTTTACTACGAATGTAGGAATAAGAAACCGGGGACGGATAATGGATGGCGGCAAGAACATCACCGGCTATTGGCAAAACGAGCTGAATCGTCGGCGCTACGGATGATCAGGGAGCAGAAATCCACCTGGATGGACAGATGGATTGGTGCATGACAGCTGTTCCCTTTGAATTTGTCGGTAACTTACACCGCCTAGCCGATTACGTAGCATTTTTAGTTCCAGATTATATGGTGTTGAAGCCAATTGAATCAAATGTAAGATTTATCTGTCTCTTAATTATAGTCACCATTTCTCTTTTAGCCATCATCTGTTCCCGCAGAGGCGGTGCCCCCTGCCGGAGAATTATCTTGGTAGACAACTTGAGGAAATAAAAAAAACGCCCGTGGGAAAGGGAGGCGGGAATCCTCTTTGTACTACCTTGGTGGCGAAAGACAAGTAATAAGGGGCACAAAGGCCATATCTCGGGACATAAATCTAGGTCATCTGGCGTCATCGCTCGAAGAAATGTTTCCGTTCCATCCAACCTTTCGCTGCCCTAGCGCCTTCTAAAGGCGAGAGTTTTAGTAGATCGTTCCCAAACTCCCCGATAACCCCAGTACCGATAAGGTGCGTGAGCAAAGGCGGCGGCGGAGTATCGGGGACCATGAGCGCAGGTATCGCCAACGATCTACTAAAATTCTCTAATAAAGCATTTCACCTCGTAAAGATGTCCGAGATTGTCTCCACTTGCTCAGTGCGCAACCATGATGCGGTGTGCACAATGTGTTAGCGTCGTGCGGTACAACACATCCCTCTGCGGAGGCAATCAAGAAAATATTCAGCATTGCGGCTGGCCGTATTCACCAGAAAATACCTGAGATGACTGACAAGAACATTGATAGTCAAATACCTCCCAAGTTCCACGAGGTATTCTAAAAAAATCGTTAGTGTCGCGTGAATTTAGAACTAAAGCAATTGAAAGTTGAAAGTAACTAATTAGTTTTCGATCCTTTTCAAATGTTTTGGAAGGTTGTGTATGATTCGCGTGTTTAATAAGACTGTTCGGTGGTACAACCGTAATGGGTATTCAGTGCGTTTTTTTTAATAACTTACGTGACCACTCGCATGTGCGCCAAACAAGTGAACACATGAGTTGTAACAGAAAATTGCTGAAATGAGCGAGAGATATAATTACAACGAACGGCAATCTCTAATTTCACTCGTTCTCGTAACAGGGTTGTGTGTGTACTGTGTAATCAAGTGAATTCAGGTGCCCGTGCTGCGTCTTTAACCGCAGCAACGCGCTAATTGGGAGGGCAGGTTGTTTCAGCAGAACGAGACTAAGATACCACAAAAACGCAAATATCAGCGTCCGGTGGAGGCCCCCGTTCGCTGGAGCGGATGGAGACGGGCCTGAACGCCTGAACAAACACACACAAACTCGCGCCACAGGACAAAGGAATCAGCGAGAGAAGGAACAGTACACTCTACGCCTCCCGAACTCGTGTGGAAATGACTACACGCCGTTGCCTCATCGCGTGAGCTATCCCCCCTCCCCCAAACTCTGTCTCTCTCTTTTTTTCTCTCTCTGTCTAGATCGTCCGCTCTTCTCTTCCACTGAACAAGAAACACTTGCAATGCTCTCTCGGAGCCATCTGGCTTGGCAGCACCACTGCACGGCGTAATCACCGATCCCTTTTCTCAAGCCTCCGGAAAACCTGCTACTACTACGTGTTCTTCTTTTTTTTTTAAGTTTTGTAGCCGAGCGTGCCACAATCGCCGCCTTCCATTTCTCCGAAAGGGTTCAGGGACGCAGTCTCTCTTCAATCGAAGCTTCCCCGTCCCTCGGATCAACTTGTGTGCGTATTCTTTTTTTTTCCTCCTCACATTTGTTTATTTCAGTCTCATTCCTCGTCGTAAGTGCAACGACCGTGACAGTTTGACAGCGGTCGTCCTGCAGCTCCGGACGCCATCAGCGATCATTTAAAGCCGAGGAAGACATCTCCCGAAGCAGGAAATGCCGACTTCTGCTGTCCTCCAAGGTTAGGAAACACGCGTTCCCTTTCCAACAGCTCCTTGGTCAGAAGAACCAGTCTCCGGGCGACGTAGAGCGGCTTCGATCTGCGCCGGGGGTGAACGCTGCTGCGAGCGACGTCCTCTTGCGCTTGTGTGTCCGTGCGCGTGCCGCTATCTTCCGCCGCCGAGCTCTTCGGTCACAACCGTATCTTATTTTTAACCAGACATCCATCCACAAGGACGGCCGCGCTTTGTTCCGGAGTCGATTGTGGACATTATTCGACGTCGAGATACAGAAGGTGTCGGTCTCGGATGCTGGCAACGCGCATTGCTTGACGAGACGAGATGGGCTCCACCGATGCTTCTCCCAACGCGACGACGACGACGCTCATTGAAGATTTGCTCAACGCCGCCGCGAACGCGACCAACAGTTCCCAGCCGGTCAGCACCGATGTGCCGGTGATCAAGAAAGTGCATGATGTGATGATCGTGTTGATCCTCGTCTCCATCATGTTTTCCATGGGATGCCACATCAAACTGTCCGAGGTAAGTGTTTTTTTTTTTTTTTTTCAATTTTGAAAATTAGTTTGCGTTTTGTTGCTTCTTTAGCTATAACTCGTTGCGTCTGGGCTGTGTGTCGACTTCAAAACCTGGTTTCGAGGTCGATGAATTTGGCGGAGGACACGCGACTTTAGAAACTGGTTTTGAATGGGTCCTTTGGTTCGTGTTCTTTCGGATCGTGTTTTGGCTTAGGATGACTCTAGCATCCTTCGCAATATTTTTGGTGGACCAAAAAAAAAAAAATCGTGAGCAGCGTGCAAACAAATTTGTAACTTTGTTTACTATTTTGCTGTCAATACTTGGATGAAACAAGTTGTTAAGAAAAAGTCAATCCCCCTGCACCGAGGGAAACCACATTATTCATCCGAGTCAGTAAGCATTAAGAGAATGTTGTCACGACCATCCCTTAGGAATCTGTTGATCTAGTAATTAATATTACCTTGTGTTTCATTGCGTTGTTTTGGTATGGTTGTATGCGCGCAAGAACGACACAATGAGCGAAAACACGGAGATAAATGATCGAAGGTCCTGATAATAAAGGCAAACCTTGAACTTGACCTTTCTCGTTATAACGTCGCGGTCTATTGCGGAAGATGTACCGTGTCAGATTGAGAAAAGGAAACACGGTTTTTTGGGTCGCATATACAAACTATTCGTCGCAGGAAGCTGAAATTCGGTGATAATATGACGCAACCAGTAATGATAGAATGAGGACTGTTTGAGAACACGCTGCCTAAATCCAAAAATACGACTGAAAAAAAAAATATTTCTTTTTCTGTGAGCTGACGTCCACCTAAGTCTAATATTCATCAAACCAAAAAATTGCATGAGGGTGCCTGTAGCGTTGATTTCAGTGAAACGAACTTGTCAGCGAGAATGGCGACATTGCTTTTTTATACCTTTGTTTGTAGCTCAGGTAGACGTCAGCTAATAGAAAAAAACACAATTTGTTTGCTCGTCTTTTTTGTTTTGTGTTTCCAGATAAATTAAAAAAATTAAAAAAATACTCGCCAGTAAATTTGTCATTAATTCGGATGTATCCGAAAAACTCCAAATTTCGAGGTCACAACGACAAAATAAAAAAGACCGTGTTTTACAAATGAACTTTATAAGAGCACAGGGTCTGTGATCTTTAGGAAATACCACTTCAGTTTCCTTTGAAATCTCGAACTACTGACAAATTGGGTTTGCCTTTTATCCCGTTAAGGTTCCTTCAGGACGACGGGTCATGAAACAATCATTTTATTTATTTTGTTTTTGAGTTAAAAAAAATATTGGGAACACAGTAAAATAAACTCCGAATTTCAAAGAATCGGGAATCTAACAAAAATAAACTCCGGAAAACACCCTCCGAATTTCACGAGAAATAAACTCCGAAAACACAGAATCCGGTCTATAGGTAACGTCCTATTCTCATTCCATCACCGCCACTGGCATCACATTCTCACCCATGGTGTCCGCTTTCCGCGATGCGTGATTTATTTATGCGAACCTAAAAACCGCGTTTAACTTTCCCTATTGGACCCGGTAAAGATGTCGACAGTACGTTAATTAAGCAGTTATGACCAGTCCATCCGCGACGGCTGCAGCTGCCATCAAAAGAAAATTGATATTGTGCTCGAATCGGGCAAAAGTTACAACATAAATAAAATTTGAGACCCGACAAGGACTCGTTAATTTTTCAATCGTAATGTCTAATCCTGTAATGCCTAACCTTGTGACTTTGTGTGGTTATCCCAAAACTTCCGAAAATTACTTATCCTATCGACCGGGTGTTAGCGCAGGATCTTTTGCGTGGTCCGAAGGACGACATGATGATTGAACGGCCTTAAGGGGAGTTCACCCGCGACTTATTTGAAGCCATTTCCTCACAGCTGACGCAGACTCTTTCCGGAGTAAGCTGGTTTCTACCAGCTGCGCATGCGGCTCGGGTTCTCGGGATTGGCTGAAGCCACGGGCTGTCCGCGCGGATCTAGGCGTCCGCCGCGTACACCGGCAGTTCTTTGAATGGCTTCGATCTCCGACTGTCTCTGAAGTTAGAATCACGTGCGAACAATTCAGAGATATTTTTATGAGCACCCTATTTACTGATGGTGTTTTGCGTTGGTATAGTGCACTCGGGTTTTCAACTTCTGCAGTTGCGCCACCTGAGTGTAGATTGAGTCGCTCACGCAACTGACGCCTTGACGCCAAGTATCGGCTTCAGCGGCGTTCATCGCTTGTTTGTCGATATGTTTGCAGATATTTGCAGCGTACGGCGCGTGCATTCCTTTCCGAATCAACGAACATGCACGTCATGAGCTGCAAATATGGCATGATGAACTGTGCGACCTTCACAACCCATACAGTAATTTCAAGACAAAAACCTTCTGGCCGCTGCGATCTTCAGTATTCGTTCGTATGGCGGGTGCTTTGCTCGCTTTCCGAAGCGACGAACAAGCGTATGCCGGCCTCTAAGGATAGCACGCTAGCTTGTGATTTCGTAAACATTGAAACGGTGTATAAGTGGTATAAGCATCTGTCAGAATCTGCTCACCGGCGCTAATAAAACGTTAAAAAAAAGAAGAAAAAAAAAACTCCGCGTTTTATTAAAAGATAAACATTGGTTCTCTTTTGACATTTTCGTAATTCTTGTTTTCTTTCACACATTCATTGTTCGTGTGTTACATGAGCGACCGTTCAGGCGCGGGGCATTTCGGAAGAAGTGAAAAGCGCGCGTGTGCAGATTTTAACGGCGCTCAAGCTCGCGAGTGCAGAGACGCCAGTAGCAACGTTACCGGAGCAAGCTCAGTTTCACAGCTCAGGGCTCAGTGGTGGCCACGAGAACTAGCAGCGCCGCAGTCGAGTCTTGCTTCCGGATTGTCTAGCCCGCCTTAGCAATACTGAGCTTGGGCGAGTTGTTGATTCATACTAACACTTCACAGCGCAAGGAAACAGACACACACAAAAATAAATTTCAAACACTCAAAGAACACTCACAGTGCGCTGACTCTGATCTCTGTGGTGTATTAGACTTCATCTTCATCATCTTTTTTTTTTTTTTTTGCTATCATACACATGGAAGTAAAAAATAAAAGGAAGAAAAGAAAAGGAAGCTCTCAACGCAGTGGTGGTAGCAGACAACGCGCGAGACAGGGAAGCGAGATCCGACTGCAGCGCCGCTAGTTCTCGTGACCGCCACCTGGGCCACTCGCCTCTGCTCAGGCGAGAATAGACCCTTTCCGAAATTCAGTGCCATCTGGTGGTTTGTAAAGCAGTTTAGGTTTTGCCATATCAATGGCGGAAATGAACTTGGATCGGCACCGTCGCTTTCGCAAGTCAACGGCACGCGAGGTTGTTCAGTGTGAGTTCTTTCTTGATCACTTTCAATTCGATGGTGACCAGAACCTGCATTCAGAACAAAGCTCCGACCCACTCAGGTGCCTCGAGAATATTCTCTACACCAAAGTGCTTTAAAGCCGATTGTGTGCCGACCACAGATTGACTGAATCTGAGTTATTAGAAATAAACGCTTACGTAGCTCTTGTGTTCCATTCCTACGTCGCGTCGTACTGACCCCCCGAATGTACAGGCCTCGCAAGATCCGCTTAGGAGCATCTTCAACGTCTTCCTTTATCAGTCAATAGAAGGCCGCCATTGGTATGGCACAGACGCCGTTCCACAGATGATGATAGTGACCAAAGTGGCCAGACTGAATTTTGGAAAGGGTCTATAGGGAGCTGCGAAACAGCTTGCTCCAGTAACGTTGGCTAGTAGCTTTGGCTTCACAGCAGTGTTCTACCGAAAAAAGTAACGAAATACGTTACTCATTCCTTCCAAAAATAAAAAGAACTCGTTACTGACCTACGTTACCTCAGAATAAAAGGAACGCGTTACCGTTACTGTTACCGACAAAATGTAATGCACGTTACTTTTTCTTTACTTTCTTTAAATTATGACTTAGCACGTTTCACTGTTTTGACGTTAGAGGTACGCATAAGCTTCCTATTTCAAGAATCATCATCTCCACGCAGAAACATAATTACCTGATCTGTTTTAAGGTTTCACCAAAATACTCACAAGAAAACACGCAAAACAAAAAACGCCGAACACTCAAAAATGTGCATAACTTGGCGCCTAGTAACACAAAAACAATTCGTATAATTTTCTCTTTTTTTAAGTTTTGAGGATATTTTTTTATGAGAGGGTGTGCAGGGAATGCGAGGTGCATTCTCTGTCGACGTTAAAAACCTTGTTTTCGGTGCCTCACGAGCCCCTACTTTTGTCTACCAGAGGGCGCATTGAACATAACGGTATTCTTCCGTTCCAGAGCTCTTGTGGAATAAGCGTCAAACATTTTCTGGAGCTTTTGACTTTTGACTTAAAGCGCACATTTTTTTCTTTTGAAGGGGATCTTTATATGCATCGGCTCTTGTGTGGCGCCTGTTTTGTGCAACATTTTTCTTTTTTTTAGTGTTTGCGGAAGAGCCATCTCAGAGAAATTGCAGGACTCGATTATAGTTCAAAGTGTTCATATTTGTAAATGATTTCCTGATTCTGAGTAACGGGCTCACACACTAACTTGTGACGTGACGGAGTTGTTGGAGGTGTTTCGGTCATGTTGTAGTGGCTTAAAATTCACGCATGAGGAGCCAAGGGACGGACGATTGCAGTTTCTGGATCTCAGATTAAGCCTACAGAAGGATCATATTTGCTGGATATATAGACCGTTTTATCGTGGGTAGCGCCATTTTGAGAGCGAGAGAGAAAAGGGGAAAGGGCTACCGGCGCTTTCCTCCTTTCTGATTGTGTAGAAAGAGTGGAAGTCCCGGATGAGAGGCTTGGCCGGTGTTGGGCGTCTGCAGTGCCCCAACTTCGTTCGCGCTTTCTTCTACGTTTCAAGCTCCCAAACTTGACTAGAGCCATGGTCTTTGATGGCGACAGTCCCCCGGTCATCGGGACACCATTGATGGGTGATAGAGTGCACGAATAACGACAGAAAGCGT